CCCCACTTTCACCACCCAAGACATGGAAACTAGCAGACAGGACCCCACCAGGCTCGTCCAGTTAAAAATCACATTGCAGCCCAGAATAAGCAGGGCAGGGATCCCCAGTGGGCGTGGTTGCTCCTGACACCATTCAGCAAGAACTGGCTGGGAGGAACAGGCAGGTTCTGCTCCAACTGACTCACCCCAGATGGCCAAGGGTGCACCGGGACCAAGTCACACTCTCCCTTTCCAAGCTTCCAGTGATTTCATCCCACTTTTCCAAGCAGCCCAACAGAGACCACCCTGCCTGAGGGTCACAGAGAAGAGGAAACTAAGACCGACCCCAGGTCATCCAACAAACTTGAGTCAGGGCCCAGATGAAACCCAGGATGTTTGACTCCCAAGCAAGGTCCCCTGAAAACGTACAATCTGGGGCATGAGGAGAAGACTGGCAGATGGGCAAGGAAGTGGGCTGTGAGTACTGCCCCAGCCCAGGCAGCAAGACAGAAACTCAAAACCCACACAGACAAACATCATAAAACTCAGCTCCTGCAGCAGCCCTCCCTGTGGACCCCTCCTCTCCTCTCTTTACCTCTTCCCAATGCTCCTGATGTGCAAGGACCCTAGGTGGCATGTCCTGGAGCCTCTCCTCCCTCAGCACTGAAAAGGTCTGGGGTCTGCAGCTGCAGCGGACTCTCTCTGCACTTGCCATCCTCCTGACCAACTGCCCATCTGACAGAAGGGAGCTCTGGGGCTCAAAGACCAAAGCAGCCAGACCCCACTCCCCCCAGGAGACACTGGCCAAGACTGAGCCTCATTCTCCTCCCGAAATCTGGGCCTGGCAAGCCTTTGTGCAGACACCCTTGCCTGGGATGTGGGACTGGACTGTTGCGATGCACATGTGACCATCAGGGTGCTGATGGCAACGGAGTGTGGTTGTGTTGTCGAGGCCATGTCTGTGTCTCCTGGGAGGAGGTCCATGTCTGTGACCCCAGGCTTTGCAGACAGAGTTCATGGGGCTGGAGCTTGTGTAGCTGCCCCTCCTCCTTGCAGAGCCTACCCCCCTCCCCAGCTTCCCCTCGGGCTCAGAGACCCCCCACAGCGAGGGCCCCATCTGCTGGAGGCTCGGTGACCTGTGTCAAATGAGCAGGCGCTCGGTCACACTCCAGAGCCTGGAGGAGGCCTCCCTGCTATGGGAAAGCTGAGCAGCTCCTGCCTGGGGGCGGGCTGGGCAGGGGCCCCGCTGGGGAGGGAGGCCAGGGAGCCTGAGACCCGCAGCAGCCTGACTGGGAGCTGCCCTCTGCAGACCAGGAGAACCGGGGAAAATATGAAAAGAAAGGACTTCCAATGTTGTTTCCTTGGGACTAACACTGCGGCCAACCGCATGGACCAAACTCTGAGCTGAACACAGCCCCCTTCCTGCTTTCTGATCCTTTGAGTAGATCTGTTGGTTCCTTGAGGATATGGTTGTGGATGGCTGTGTGTCTTTGGGAGGTATGGGGGTGGGCCTCTTTGTATCTGCATCTGGGAGGGAGAGTGTGCATGACCGGCCTTGTGTGTATTGTGTGAATAGCAAGGTGTGCCTATTTGGGTGAATAACACTGCATGCTGGCTGAGAGTCTCCATGTTTGTGACCTTGTGGGCCTGGAGGGCTCTTGGCTCTCAGTGTCAGTGAAAGAGTGCCTAAGTATAGGCCTATTTCAGTTATGTGCGTGTTCTGTTTGTCCCCATTTAGACACATGCCTGTGTTTATTGTTAGACGTTGCTTTATATCATTCTGAATATTTGGCCTAATGACACAAGTCCATGTGTTCCTAATGTGAATCAGTATGTTTGCCCTTGTGCTAAAATGTGCATCTGTATCTGTGTGTCAAGTGTGTAAACGTGTGTGAATGCCCATCAGTTGGCAAGGTCCTCACCACTCTGTGTGAGTGCCTGACTTCCATGGGTACACCTGCAGCTGCGTGGTGTGGTATGAGGAAAAGTTCTCCCCAGGGTCTGTGAAGGTGGTGCTCCTGGAGAGAGGGGCTGTTGGGTTGTGCAGGTGTCTGCCAGTGGCAGTGTCACAAACCCCAGTATCCCACACAGAATCTCTAGGAACAAGACTGAAGAGGATGCTCAGACACTTTAAGATAGAAAAAGTGAGCCTCTGAGAGGTAAGGTAATTCACACCAAGTCGCAGGCTGCTAATGGGAGTGATGGAACTTGGGCTGGTTACCTAGAAGCCTGGCTACTGCTTTGCTGTAGACTCCCCTCAATTCAGCACAGACCTGAGAAGCCAGCTTCCAGAGTGCCAGCTGGCCTTGACCTGCCCCTGAGAGCTGCCAGAAATAGGGCTGAGAGCTCTCTTTGGCCTGATGGCCAAAGCTGCTGCCTCCACAGGCACCGCCCCCCCAATTCCACAGCAAGCAGGAAAGTAATGACAGGGAACACATGGGTCTTGCGCCCCTGGGCAAATCTCAGCTCCCTATCTATGCACTGAGGGTAATAATCTCAGTGCTCTCACAGGACTAAGAGGCACAAAAGTGCTTTCTAAAGCACCATGCCCACTGGTCACTGTTTTCCAAGCCTCACTGGCAACTCCAAAAGCCTGGACATCATGATACCCAAATCCAGATATTTCCCATCCTCCAATAGGAACTGGGACTGATTTACAAAATCACTGACCATCAGAGGTAGAAGGACATGGGAAGTCAGATAGTCCAAACCTCCATCATGCCAATCTACAGATGAGGAAATTGAATTTTAGTTAGAGATGGGAGTACCTTGCTCACCCACCGGGAATGAACAATAGGAACAAACAGAGTAAAAGCACTTTCTGAGAGATTTTTACTCCCTTTGTCTCACAATCTGCTTACTTAGTGAGACAGTTGGGCTGCCCATAATACCGCTATTCCCAATTTACAGGAAGAAAATTGAAGGACCCGAGTGAATGTACCAGAGTCATACTTGCCCAGAAAGAGTGACAGTTTCAGGTTGAAAATCTAAGTTTCAGTGTCATACAGGCCTACTTAGGGCTGGCACGAGAGGAGACTTCACTTAAGGACTCTGGCCTTGATCCTACCTCCTGGATCTGGGAGAAAGCCCAGGGAGCCCAGTAGGCCAGGAAGACCTGGGCTGCCTCAAGGTGACACTTCCTGGGCCAGAGTCCAGGAAAACCCAGTGTCTTTAGCTGCGTTCACAACTGCTGATCTAGAATGGGACCTAAAGGATGTTGTTCAGGACACTGACCACTGGCCAGACAAGAACCATGCCCTGTTCCACTCCTTCCCTTGGGGTAGAGGAATAGCCAAAGGCTGGATTTGGGACATTCAGAGCCCAGATGAGCACATTCTATGCCTAGGGTAACCCTTGTCACTGTCAACTGTCCCAGCCACCCTTGAATCACCTCCACAGCAGCGGTCACCCCAAGTCCCCATCACACACCTTTCTTCCTTCACACACTGAGGCTTCATTCCACAGGACTGACTTTCCCAATAGGGCCCTAGCTAGGCACTTAGCTCAGCCCTGTGATTGGAAATGGCAGGGTCCTGAAATGTATTAATCCATTAGAGGTTAAGATCGGGAACAGAAAAGGGGGATTGGCAGTGAAAAAGTCTCCCTGGGACTCAAGGCTAGATGTAGGAAGTGGTGGAAGTTACAGCTCAGGACATTTAGGGTGGGGCCCAAAGTGGGGTAAGGAGGCACAACTGAAGTCCTACTCCTCTCAGGATCCTCCAAAGAGTTCCAAGTGTGAGGAAGTGGCGGAATTCCACTGCCCACCTTTTCAACAGGGACTTCTCAACCTCAGTTCCCTTTTCAGCAGCCCCAGGCAAGTCTGGGTAAACTCCAGGATCCACGCGAAGCTGGACAGCTCCCAGCCTGTGTTCTGGATTTCTGAAGTGCCAGCTACCCTTCCCTGAGTCTACACCATTCCTTTCCTAGAGCAAGTCTCCCCAGGGTGTTACCCCTCCATGATCATCGCCTATGAGCTGTTCAAGCTGGAAGGAGATGGAGTGAGAAGGCTACAGCAGCGCAAAACTGGGCCCAGGGTCCATCACCCGCGCAGGTGGAGTTTTCCCCGGAGCCACAGTCTCCACCTCAGGGTCCTCTCATTCTCAAACCCCAGAACACGGCCCGGTTACAGGAGCTCGCGTCTCAGCACATAACCGCTGCCGCCCGCTGTCCTGGTGCGGAGCCTCCCGCGCCTTACTCACCTGGCTTCGGCGTCCGGGAGCAGGAAGGGGTGCCCGCGCAGGGCATGAAGCCCAGGCCATCCGACTCTGCGCGCTCTGTCAGGGCCGCAGAGTCCGCGATGAATCTAGAGAGAGAAGAGGGAAAACGAGACAGGCCAGGCAGGCATTCGGAGGAGCGCTCGGTGAAAACTGGAAGCCGCGGGAGTCGAGGCGGCAGAGGTGAGCAGCCGCGCGGGAACAGAGCCGGAACCCGCGCCGCCTCGCGCTCGCCGCCGCGGAGACCCGCGGGAATCCTAGCCCGCAGGCAGCCGCACTGAGGAGGGAGGAAGTGAGGGGCTGAGTCGCTTCTTGGAGCCCGAGCGCCTCCCGGAGCCCGCAGTCCCCGCCGCCCGGGTGGGATGCGGACAGGAATTCAGCTTGCGTGGAATATGGGGCCGGTCGGGCTCCGAGTCTCCAGCACTGGGGGAAAGCGGGGCCCACGCAGCTAGGACCAGAGGGGGTGCGGTCCCAGTGCCACCCCCGCGCCACTCCCCACGTGGCGGCCGCGCCCCCGGGGCGTGAATGTGTACGCGGACGGTAGGGGGGCTGTGAATGAAGCCCCAGCGGCCAATCAGCACGGCCGGCGCGCGGGACCCCGGGAGCGAGGCCCAATGGCGAGCTCTGGGTGGCCGGGCCAGGCAGCAGGCGGGCACAGGGGGCGGGGGCCGAGGCCGGGGGGCGGGAGGCGGCTCCGCGGGCAGCCAATGGGCGGCGGGAGGGGTGGGGCTCCGGAGCGCCGAGCGGGTCCGGGCTTTAAGCCTGCGGAGCGCGGCGGCGGGGCCCGCAGACGGAGCGGAGCGGCGGCGGCGGCGGCGCGGCGCAGGGCGCGGGGCGGCATGGCCACCACCGCGCAGTACTTGCCGCGGGGCCCCGGCGGTGGAGCCGGGGGTACGGGGCCGCTCATGCATCCGGACGCCGCTGCTGCAGCTGCAGCCGCGGCGGCCGCCGAGCGGCTGCACGCGGGAGCCGCGTACCGCGAAGTGCAGAAGCTGATGCACCACGAGTGGCTGGGCGCGGGCGCGGGCCACCCCGTGGGCCTAGCGCACCCCCAGTGGCTACCCACCGGAGGAGGCGGCGGCGGCGACTGGGCCGGCGGCCCGCACCTGGAACACGGCAAGGCGGGCGGCGGTGGCACCGGCCGAGCCGACGACGGCGGCGGCGGCGGCGGAGGTTTCCACGCGCGCCTGGTGCACCAGGGGGCGGCCCACGCGGGCGCGGCTTGGGCGCAGGGCGGCACGGCTCACCACTTGGGCCCGGCCATGTCCCCGTCGCCCGGGGCTGGCGGGGGCCATCAACCCCAGCCGCTCGGGCTGTATGCGCAGGCGGCCTACCCAGGGGGCGGCGGCGGCGGCCTGGCCGGGATGCTGGCGGCGGGCGGTGGCGGCGCGGGGCCCGGCCTGCACCATGCGCTGCACGAGGATGGCCACGAGGCACAGCTGGAGCCATCGCCGCCGCCGCACCTGGGCGCCCACGGACACGCACACGGACATGCACATGCGGGCGGCCTGCACGCGGCGGCGGCGCACCTGCACCCTGGCGCGGGCGGCGGCGGTTCGTCGGTAGGAGAACACTCGGACGAGGATGCGCCCAGCTCGGACGACCTGGAGCAGTTCGCCAAGCAGTTCAAGCAGCGGCGCATCAAGCTGGGCTTCACACAGGCCGACGTGGGGCTGGCGCTGGGCACACTGTACGGTAACGTGTTCTCGCAGACCACCATCTGCCGCTTCGAGGCCCTGCAGCTGAGCTTCAAGAACATGTGCAAGCTCAAGCCTCTGCTCAACAAGTGGCTGGAGGAGACCGACTCTTCCAGCGGCAGCCCCACCAACCTGGACAAGATCGCGGCGCAGGGCCGCAAGCGCAAGAAGCGCACGTCCATCGAGGTGGGAGTCAAAGGCGCGCTCGAGAGCCATTTCCTCAAGTGCCCCAAGCCCTCGGCCCACGAGATCACAGGCCTGGCCGACAGCCTGCAGCTGGAGAAGGAGGTGGTGCGCGTCTGGTTCTGCAACCGGCGGCAGAAAGAGAAGCGCATGACCCCCGCGGCGGGCGCCGGCCACCCGCCCATGGACGACGTATACGCGCCCGGGGAGCTGGGGCCGGGCGGGGGCGGCGCGTCACCGCCCTCCGCACCCCCGCCACCCCCGCCAGCCGCGCTGCACCACCACCACCACCACACACTTCCAGGCTCTGTGCAGTGACCCTGCCGGCTGGGTCCCTGCCGGCGCGCGGCAAGGCGCGGGCGCGCAGTCCGCCCGCGCGGCCTGGACTCTTTTTGTTCGGTTGCTTTGGATTTTACAAAAAGCCCAGAAACTTTCGAACAAAACCAAACACCCGGACGACCCTCTCCGGCAAGCGGCGAAGACGGCCGGTAGGCTGTGTCGCCCGAGCCCCTGAGAACGAAGCGAAGATCCAGAACGCGCCAACTCACCCTGGGCATCCTGCCCGCCGCCTGCTCCCTGCCCCCATCCCCTCGACGACCCCCGCCCCTGCCCCCCCCGGGCTGTTCGGGGCCGGATCCCGGCAGCGGTCTCCCCACAGCGACAGGTAATGCGGTGCGGGGTTAGGGATTCCCCGGGAGAGAGGACGAAGAGAGGAGAGTTCCCCCCATCCCCATTCCCTGGGGCGGACTCCCCAGCCTGCGGGTCAAGGATGCGGGGGGGCTGTCACTTTATTCGCTCCACGCCTCTTCTCTCCCATAAGGATGCGCCCCACCCCACCTCTTCCCCTTTCTTCGGGCTTGGTTTTTTACGATTTTTATTTATTTGTGGAGCCTCTCGGCTTCTGGGGTCCTTCTAACTCCGCCCGCGCCCTTAATTTAAATCGCTGTATACTGTATTTATCGGGGCCCCGGAGGGGAGGCCGCGAGAGCCGCGTCTGTGTATAAAAAGCAGGAAATAGCCAAAGCTTTAATCTAGCCTAATTTATTTTTCCTCTTCTCTTTCCCTTAACCCTCCCCTCTCAAAAAAAAGCAAAACAAAAAAAGCAAAAAAAAAAAAAAAAACTAACAAAAAAAAAATTTCGAGTGTTCATTTTTCGTTTCGTTTCATCCGAGCCTCGGCTCGTTCCCGGCCTCGCTGGAGGGGTCTGCGCTCCCACACACTCGAGTGGGAAGGGCTTCTGCCCGGCTGCGGACTAACCATGGAACCGTTGGGGCTTCTGCTCCCCGCGGGGCCCTGCCCTCCTGGCCATAACAAACGAAACTTGGAAAAGTTGGAGATATTTTTTAACCAGCTGTAGAAATAAGCCGTTCCCTGAGAACCTTCTGCCTGATTCCCTGCAGCTTCCCTCTGCTCCCTTTCCAGCCCCCCCTGGATGCGGGATGCTGGGGGAGGTGGGGAGAGAAATTCCCCAAGTTTGGGGTGAGGTTGGGAACCATGTAAATATGTGAGATATGTACACACTGGCGGGGAAAAGAAACATTTTGTGCTTGGATTTTATTTTTGGTTTTCTGGGTTGTCCTCCCTCCCCATCCTAAAGGATTTTGTACACCCAACTAATCCGAAAAAGATATTTTAATATGATTTCCTGGTTTCTGACCCATCTCTATTTATTTTCTGGATATGTTTGGAGCTTCCCCCTTTTCCATTTCTTCTTCTGTTAAGGTTTGAATTTAAATTTTGTTATTTTATTTTTATTATTTTTTGGAACAATGTTTTGGTGCATTCTCTTTGTATCTTTATTGCAAACAAAAATAATGTAGACTGGGAAGTTCCCTTTATATTTATGTTATAGTAAATATTTTATTACTCACATAAACTTGTACCCCAGGGCTGTGTCCTGTCCTCTTTACTCCTAGGGCTGGGGCGGTTTTTGGTGGAAGCCATGGGATGCTCTTCCTCTCCTCCCACAAAGATCTGGCCTCACTATTTCAGGCCAGTATTAGTATGCCTATTATTTGGGCAACAATTTGGCCTCTACCCTAGGTCCCTCAGACTAGGGAAGATAAAGCTGCTTCATGTACCCTGCCCATAACTAGACTCTGCAGACCAGACCCCGGACAGAAAACTACAGACACCACCCAGAACTTGGGTCAGCCATTAGTCAGGTACAACATAACTGCTCTCCCCAGCCAAGGAAGAAGTCCTCCTTGGCCTTGACCTCTAGCCTAGAATTTCTGTATCCCCTGCCCTACACCCCAACCTGGAACTTTGGTTTCGCTTTGTATCCCATGTGTAGGGTCCAGAGGAATTTTGCCATTCCAGGTCCTGGCACAGCTGGAAGCCTGGTCAGGCCCCACCTTTCTGTCCCAATTGACTACTGTTCCCATTTCACCATAACCAGATGGTGCCCAAGCCCACCTGGATCCTCTGGGCATTCTGAGAGTTTAGACCGAAGTTCATTCAGTGGTCCTGCAGGTCTGAATGAGCCTGGGAGAAAGCCATGCCTCTTTGCTTAGGCAAAGCCAGTCCTACCTCTCTGCAAACAATCCACCTGCCCCTACCTACTTCTCTTGGGAAGAAGTGGGGACATGACTGTGCCACCAGAAGGACCTGACATATTTCCAAGGGTGGTCTCAAGAACCTTCCCCCCTCCACCACAGGGCGTGATACATATACTAGAGAGAGGAAGGACTCTGTGACCGTGCCGTGGAGACCTGGCAGGGGAGACCATAGACATTCTGAGACATTGCCCTCTCAAGCATTCAGCAGTCACATCCTCTCTGAGGCGGCAGCTGGGAGCAGACCTAGGTTCAGGTCCAAAGCAGTACTATCTGTGTCCCAGTCAAGATCTTATTTTTCCCCTTAAAACAACTTTCTGTGTGCTTCATCGATGCACTCTTTTCTTCTCAGGAAAAAAAAAAAAAAAAAAAATCACACAAAGTTTCTCATACTCTTCTGGGAGCCAAAGCTTGAAGGCAAAATCATTTGGCTGGGGAGAAAGTTGTGTCCCTCCTGAAGGGGTAGGTGGGACCTGCCGTGCCTGGGAAGCTGCCGAAGTGCGGCCTATGAGAGGCCTTGGCTGCAGCCGTTGGCATCCAGGATACCCAGAGAGGCATTCCAGGCTCTTAAGTTGGTGGTCCCTGGCCAAGTTGAGACCTCAAGATGACTGTGCCAGGATGACTTAATGGTGACTTTTTGGGCTCTGCCCTTTAATCTTGGTGGGGAGGATTTTCTCTGCAAGTACGAGGGCTATCGTGGTTTTCACCCCTGCTTCTATTTTATTTTTTTATTTTTTTTAGCTCTCTCAGCCCAGCCTGGTGAACAGATAGCCCTGTAATTGACACCAGTGTCCCAGCCTTTCTCCATACTTGTGAGCCAGTGTACTCCTTGTACATCTTAAAGAGGAGGCCAGGGACTTGATGACCATCATGATAATGGCATATTCAGGAGCCACTGGCCACCCTACCTTGCCTTTCATTTTTGCTAAGTACAAAACTTCAAAGCCATCCCACACTCCTCCCTACTCCCTCTTTATTTCTCCATCCCTGGATTTGTCCCAGCCTCAGGGCCCTGAAATGGAAGCAGATGAAGCTCAGGGCTCCCCGCCCCTACAGGCCCAGAGCCTCAGCAGGTTTTGAGGTTGGAAAGGGCTACCGGGAAGATGGGGCCTTTCACTGGCCTCTGCCTGCAGCTGACACCAATTGATTGATTGATTTCCTAATTGTCTGCTTAATCCTATACAAGAGGGTGGGTTTATTATTTAAGCAAGTCAACTCAAAAACAGCAAAACAATGCAGCTTCCCAAGAACCAGCAGCAGCTGAGGAATAGAACAAAAAAGAAAAGAAAAGAAAAATTGGGCAAGGGGATGGAAGAAAATCTTCCACTTTGCAAGGATTTTGTTTAATGAGACACCAGCCTGGGACACCTAACCAGTGATCAACCCTTGGTGGCAGAAAGCCCCAGGGATTCTTTCCCAGACTTCAGCCCAGGATGACGGTAGGAATCTCAGCACCTTTCACTTTATAAAGAGAAAACCAAAGGGAGAGAAATATTTTCCCCTGGAGTTTTATTTCCTGCATAGAGCAGAGTTTAAGAAATACAGAGCTAGCTGTGGCCTTGCCCGCCGATTCTTCGTGCTATGTGTATGTGTGTCTACCTGTTTGCTCCAGAAAACCTCAGACTTCCTTTCGTCCAAGAGAGGCACACATCCTTAACATTGACCTCCAGAAAAAAAAGAGAGAGAGAACCTAAGCTTTCCCTAGCAAATTTGGGATTTTCTGTTCCCGTCTTCCTCCCTTTCATGCTTGAACAAATTATTTCCTGCGATCCTGTGGCTATAGGTTCTGGTAAAGCTTGAAGGGACTTTCTTCTCCCCATAGGAACCTCTGCATGTGGGTATAAGAATTTGTGTGTGTGTCACTGTGCATGCAAATCCATAGCTGATCCCAGAAGTAGAAGGGAAAAGAAAATCCATGCTACACTGCAAATCATGCTGTGAGCTGGAAGAACATTTGCAGGGTGAGGTTGGCCAACCCTGGAAAAAAGAAAGGAGATCATTGTGGTCATCAAGGCAAACCCAGAAGGAACCCTGTCCTGAGCCCCAAGGACATTGATATTCTCTCCCACCATCTACCTCAGGATGTTACAATAGCTGACGGTCATGGCATAGTCCTAGGCGATCATCCCTTGGCCCTGGGGCTTGATTGAATATCCACAGGACTAACTGACCCCCCACACACACACACACCACAACTGCACACTTAGAGCTGTTCAGCAGCTTCCTCTGGAAAAGCTCTGGGCCTGCATGGAGGAGACTCAGTCCCCCAGTGACCACCCAGGGCCAGGCTGTCACCCTCCCAGGGACTTTCCCTAGCTCCAGAAAGGAGACTTCCCATTAGAGGAAATAGAGTGAGAGGAGTTGGGTTATCTGGCTCAGCTGTTCCCCCTAAGCTCAGCCAAGAGGAGCTACCTGTGGCCTTGAACTTTGAGACGGAGGCCAGAGGCAGCTGAAAGAGCTGGTCTGTCCCCTGCCTGTCACGTTTGAAGGCCCTAGAATTAGTGTTTGACCAGTCATTCAGGGCTCCCCCTTGCTACCTCTGAGGACTCTGTGTGGGAGGACTGCCCTCTATTGGTCCCTGAAATGGGATGTGGCAGCAGTTACTAGAGCCACCCTGAAGTTAACCCCGGTCCCCAAAATCAGCTTCAAGGCAGCCACTCCCTGGGGTGTGCCAGCTAAAGCAGAGGCAACTTTAGCCTCCAAAGGAAGCAATCCTGCTTCACGGGCACATACTCTACACACTTCTTCCCGTCCCACCCACCACCTGCCCGTGCGCACAGCCATGCTCTTCACACTCACTCCCATCATTCTTTCTTGCGGCCAGTTGGCAGGTCCTGACAGTTTGCTCATTCACACACATGCTCACACACCCTGGTCACACCCACACCACTTTGACCATCCAAGATCAGCTTTCCGGTCTTTGTCGTTGAACTTTTGGGAGTCGCCGAATACCTGGTACGTGTGATATTTAATCAAGCACACAACCATTCTGTGTAGGATTTCACCAGATCCTCTCCTGTCGGGATTTCTAAGCACTTACCCCACAAACCACTTTCCAAACACATCCCTGCCCATCATTGTCCCAGCTCCTCCCAGATCTCTTCCTGCTCCTTTCAGATAATTTAAGTTAGGCTGTGTGTTTGTATGTATGTGTGATCTTATTTTTTAAACACACACCCCCACACGTACATATGCGTGTATATATACAAACACACGCAGCAATTAGATCTATCCATTCCGCCATGGTGCTTCTTGTGCAGTAAAACCTCCACCATGCACATGCCCCCACATCGCCATGTGATGGTCCCAGCATGATCTAATCACGGGCTCCTGATCTCTCTCATACACACACAGAGGCACCCAGGTACACACGGTAGCACTTGTGCATGGTATCACTTCCAGCTCCCTGGTGTTTCTCCAAGGGTATAACCTACCTCCTGTTCCCCAGCTCCCTCCAGGGCATCTGAGTGGGCTCTCCTCAGACAACCTAAGTACCAGAAGAGATTTGCTCCAACCCTCACCTCTCACCTCCCACCCACCCACACACCAGTGGACAATTCTCCCACCAAGCCTGACCAGGGTGGGTCTGGGTATTATTAGGCTGCAGAGACAGCACGGAGGCATATGGTCTCGTACACAAGAAATAATGTTCATGTTAAATCAGACCTCATGCATAATGCATGGTGCCTGATCTCACATTATTTTGGGTGTTCGTCAAAATCAGTGTTCTTTCTTGTGAGGGCTCCTGAAAAGAAGGGAAAAAGCCATTTGCTAATTACACCCACAGCCTGGACTCAGGGAGCTAGGGGTGCCCCCGGGAGCCTCCCTCTGCCCCACTTCACCCACCAGTGGGTCCCGTCCTTCTATTCCACTCTGTCTTCCAGCACGGAAGGAGGGGTTGCCTCGGGTTTGTAGCAAGCGTAAGGCCCCGTGTTATTTTTATTTCTTTTCTCTCGGCTCTCTGTCCCCGGAGGGTTCTGGGGAATAGCAGTGGCTCCGTCGCTCTCACACCCGATTCATTTGCCGTTTTATGAACTCCCCGTTGATTCATCGCCTCCCTAAGTCAATGATTCACTCCTGATGGCTTTTCAGAAATCCTTCTTCAAAGGCTCCAGATTATTCAGCTTTGAACAGAAGCAAGAGCCGGAGCAGAACTGGACCCCTGCACTGCTACTGCTTCCGTGGCCTGGAATGGAATATTGTCACCACCCTTGGGCTTTCCCCCAGGGCTGGGCCAGCCTGGGGAGCACAGAGTGCTCTCTCCATACAGAAACTGCTAAAGCTAACCCAAGTGGTTTGTG